AGAGCTGCTTACTTTTCCTCTGTCAGACTTGGTGTTTTTATCTATAAAACAGGAGCCAAGTTACCAGTCTTTCAGGATTATTGGGAGTTTAAAAAAACACTTGAAACGTGACTAGCACATAGCAAATATTTAATAAATGGTAGTTATCACTGATAATAGAAGAAGGAGAAAGAAAGGAGAAGGGAGAGGAGGATTTAATCTGTGCCCTTGAAGACTCTGTCAAACAGAGGTTCAGAGTAGTTGGGGAGAGAAACAGGGAATGGCCCAGTCTAACTGGAGAGGAGGGTCTGTCTTGGGATGCAGAGAGGCAAAGGTAGTAGTGGACAGTTATGTAGCACTGTCTGAGCACCAGACATTGTTCTGAGCCCTTTTCACTTATTAATTCATTTAATCTTCACAAAACTCTATGAAACACACACTATTATTACTATCACCACTTTACAGAGAAGGAAACTGCAGCATGAAAAGGTTAAGTAACTTGCTCAAGGTCTCAGAGAAAGTATATGGCAGAGTCAGCTTGGAACCTAAGTGGTCTAGCTTCAGAGCCCACACTTTTGACCTCACTCCACTGATTCTTTGCAGCCTTGAGATAAGAGTAATAATACTGCACATGCTGAGTGGCTTTCATTACAGGATAAGGCATTTGGGCTCTATCTAGTAGGCAATAAATGTTTACTGGTACAGGCCTCAGGACAGTGAGAACATTGCATAAACCCCTGGTAATTGGTTAAATAGCTATGGAGTCATCCTAGGAAGCAGATTTTCATTCTATCCTTCCCATGGGAACAAAACTTCCAGTGTGTTTTCTAAAGGGAAATCCAGAGATCTGGGAAGCTATTCTTACCCCAGTAAGAGATGAGCTAATGATGGAGGAAAAAGAATGATGGTCAAAATAAACTAAGAAAAACTACCACATGTACCTTAAAATGTTCAAGAGGTTGGGAAACATCATTCTCTAAGGAAGGCAGACTCTTACTCATCTTGAGACTGTTGAGGTTGAAAGAATACCATAAGACCCTTTAAAAATAAACCCCAGTAAAGGACGCACATGTTCTTTTAGGTTTGAAGTCACACAGCTATCTTGCCCCCCACCCAAAGACCTAAAAAATTATAGCAAAGATATTTAAAAGTTACCAAATAAATACATAACAGTTCTTAGAAACGAGGAGAAGATATAGAAGTGAACCAGAAATGTGGAGAATCCTTAAGAAACCCAAAACAGATGATGGGCTTGGATCTTAAAAATAAAGTGTGATACAGAGTACAAATGGCTATAATATCTGTGGTACATCCAGGGAAAAGCATCTGTGCTCAGCTAGTGGTGAGGAAAAGGACTGTGGTTAGAGATACAACCTGGGGAGTCTTTGGGACGGATCTGCCTGGAGCCTGCCATTGAGGGCACTGAATGGATGGAATCGCCCAGGGAGAGGACATTCTCAATAGTGTGAATGAGATGAAGGCAAAGGTTATTAGAGGGTAGTCAGAGGGAAGTGATTCTACTCAATGACCAATCATTCAGTTCCTTTACTCTAATCCTGAATATCAGCATCTTTATCACTCCCCCCAGAAGGTTTGCTGCAAAACCTTCTTAGGAATTTGAGAATGGATATGCCAGAGAGACAAGTTTACTGGTGAGATTCTTGCTCTCTGTCCCTAACCCCACCCATCATTTGTGTTATTTCCTTGGGCTGAGCCATAGCCAGACATAACCTTGCTCTGAGACCTCCAGGTCAAAATGTTGAGCCAATGCCCTTCCCTTCTCAATAGGTTCAGGTCTTCAAAGCCCTCAGGAAGGACTCATCAAGGGCAGGGGCTTAGGACTTAGACCCTCTCTGGGACAGAGATTTGAAGCAGAGGGTCTTGTCACATGACTGGAGTCACAGCATCCAGGAATTAACAAACACTGGCTCTCCCTGCTACATCCCCAGGGAGATCAAATCTCAGCCTTTGGGAAAGGAAGAGAAGGTACTTCTGGTTGAATTTGGTGGGTTGAACATTGACATTAGCTTTCACTCCATCATTTTCTAAAATGAGAGGAAAAGGTAAACCAACAAAAATAACAGGATTAAGAGAGGGAATTACGCAACATAATTTTCTAGTCTGGAAAGCTCATGTAACAGTGTTACTAGTCTTAGTACAATAGAGAAAGCTGAATCATAACAGTACAGGTAAAAAGCCATGAAACAAGTTAATTTACAGTGCAGAAGCCCAAAAGGCATGGGAACAGGTGACATTCCTTTCCTCTGGAAGTAAGTGTGAAGGTAGAGCCAAGAAGAGGAATGATTGGTCAAAAGCCTGTTTAATTTCCCAACTAATTTGAAAATTTATGTCCAAGGAATTCTGGCCATGATGGAGGCATAGGTAGATATGCTTTGCTTCCTAGCACAACCAAAAAAAGAACAACAAACAATTTAAAAACAAAAAGCAACCAGAACTGCCAAAAAATTGAAGTGTATGGAAGACAAACAACCAAAGAGTTAAGAGAAGAAACATTCATCCAGACCAGGATGGAGATGGGCGGGCAGGGTGGAGAGGATGCATGGCAAGGCAGTGGCTGGTGGACTGGCAGTCCCACAGTCATTTGTGGCTAAACCAGGAGGAACAACTGGGGAGTAAGAAGACCATGCAATCCAGGGTTTCAGCGTAAGGAAATAAAGCCTCAAAGCCTCTGACTGCAAAAGTCTGTGGGGGGTGCAGTGGCATGAGAAACTCCCAGTTTCACAGGAGAATCATTGGAGGGACCCACTGGGTCCTAGAACGCACACAACCTCCCCTGCCTGGAATCAACACCAGAAGGGCCAAATTCGCTTGCAGGTAGTGGAGGAAGTGACTGAAAGTGGGGCAAAAGCTGAGCAAGTTTCATTGTTCCCTCTCTGATGTCTCCCCCACATACAGCACCACAATGCAGCGAAGTGGATTGCCCTGCCTGGCAAATTCCTAAGGCTCCACCCCTTATAAAAGTAACAGGTGTGCTGAGACAAAGAAATGTGGCCCACATGAAAGAACAGATCAAAACTCCAAAAAAAGAACTAAGTGATGAGGAGATAACGAACCTATCAGAATTCAAAATACCTGCAGAATTCAAAATACTGGTAATCAGGATGCTCACAGAAATGATTGAAAGGCACTTTGCTGCATTGTGGTGCTGTATGTGGGGAGGGGTCTGAGAGGGAACAATGCCACTTGCTCAGCTCTTGGCTGGCTTTCAGTCACTTTCCCCACTACCCACAAGCAAATCGGGCCCTTCTGATGCTGATTACTGGGTGGGTGGGTGAGTTTGTGTACATTCTAGGACCCTATGGGTCTCTCCATTGAACTCTCCTGTGAGGCTGGGAGTTTCTTCCCCTGTTGCAACCCCCACAGATTTTTACAGCCAGATTTTTGTTCTGTTTTGTTTTTACCTTTTTTTAATTTTTTATTTTATTGGTTATGCCATTACAGTTGTTCTATTCCCCCTTTCATTCTCCTCCACCCTGCACCCCCCACTGCACCCCCCCATTCCCCCCCTTTAGTTTATGACCATGTGCCTCAAGTTCTTTAGATTCTATATTTCCCATGCTATTCTTGCCCCCCCCATCTATTTTCTATCTACTGTGTATGCTACTTATTTTCTGTACCTTCTCCCCCCTTCTCCTCCTCCCACTCCCCTGTTGCTAACCCTCCATGAGATCTTCATTTCTATGTTTTCACTCCTGATCTAGCTGTCCTTTTAGTTTGCGTTTGTTTTAGGTGTGGTTGTTAATATCTGTGAGTTTGCTGTCCTTTCACTGTTCCTATTTCTTTAACTTCTTTTTCTTAGATAAGTCCCTTTAACATTTCATATAATAAGGGCTTGGTGATGATGAACTCCTTGAATTTGATCTTATCTGATAAGCACTTTATCTGCCCTTCCGTTCTAAATGAAAGTTTTACTGGATAGAGTAATCTTGAATGTAGGTCTTTAGATTTTATGACTTGGAATACCTCTTTCCAGCCCCTTCTTGCCTGTAAGGTCTCTTCTGAGAAATCCGCTGACAGTCTGATGGGGACCCCTTTGTAGATGACTGTCCCCTTATCTCTTGCTGCTTCTAGGATTCTCTCCTTCATTTTAATTTTGGCTAATGTAATGATGATGTGCCTTGTGTGTTTCTTCTTGGGTCCAAGCTCTCTGAGCTTCCTGGATTTCCTGGAAGTCTATTGCCTTTGCCAGATTGGGGAAGTTCTCTTTTGTTATTTGTTCAAATAAGTTTTCCACTGGTGGCTGTTCCTTTCCCCCTTCTGGTACCCCTATAATTTGGATGTTGGAGCATTTAAAGATGTCCTGGAGGTTCCTAAGTCTCTCCTCATTTTTTTGAATTCTTGTTTCTTCATATTTTCCTGTTTTGTCATTTCTTCCTTCGTTCTGGTTCACTCCCTTGATTTGAGTCCCAGTTTCCTTTTCATCACTATTGCTTTTCTGTGCAATTCCCTTCATTTCAATTAATTTAGCCTTCATACGTTCCTCTAATTTGTGACTAAAATCAACCAGTTCTGTGAGCATCCTGATCATCAGTGTTTTGAACTGTGCATCTGAAAGTTTTGCCATTTCTTCGTCACTTAGAGTTAAGGGCTCTGGGGCTTTGAGATCTTCCTGAGCCATTTTTGGTCTGTTCCGGCCCGTTAAGTATGAGGAGCAGAGCCTTAGGTGTTCACCAGGGCAGGGTCGCTCAGGTCACTGGGTTGTGACGTGGTCAGGCTGAAGAATTTGTTGTTATCAGACTTCCAAAAAGTTCAATTTTCTGTGTTCTGGCTGTGTTTTCTGTTGCTAATATTTTGTTGTCTCTAAACTTGGCTGTGTGAGAAAGCACAGAGTCTCCACCTATGCCTCTGTCTTGGCGGAAGTCCTGTTTTTACCTTTTTTTTAAATTGTTGTTCAAGTACAGTTGTCTTCATTTTCCTCACCACCACCATTTCCTCCAATCCCAACCATCCCCACTTCTCACCCTTGATCCTATCCCCCTTTGGTTTTGTCCATGTGTCCTAAAAATATGGAATGCTTCAAGAATTTGCATGTCATCCTTGCCTAGGGACCTTGCTAATCTCTGTATCAGGCCAATTTTAGTATATGTGCTGCTGAAGTGAGCACACAGCCAGAGGTTTTGAGGCTTTCTTTTCTTGTGCTGGAACCCTGGGCATCTTAGCCTGTCTTGCTCCTGACTTGTTTCTCCCAGTTTATCCGCATGCTAATGTAGGACCACCAGCCTCCCCTGCCCGGTTCTCCAGCTACCACCTTGCCACGCATCCTCTCCACCCTGGCTGCCCATCTCTGCCCCTCTTACCAGTCTGGATGAATGTTTCTTCTTTAACTCCTTGGTTGTTGGACTTTCATACAGTTTGATTTTCTGGCAGTTCTAGTTGTTTTTTTTGTGTGTTAAAATGGACTGTTGTCCTTCTTTTGGTTGTGTGAGGAGGCAAAGTATATCTACCTACATCTCCATTCTTGACCAGAAGTCTCATTTCTTAATTCCTAGTTTATTTTTTAGAAGATTTTTTATTTATTTATTTATTTTTAGAGAGAGGGAAAGAGACAGAGAAAGAATGGGAGAGATACATCAATGTGTGGCTGCCTTTCATACATCCCCCTTCTGGGGATCTGACCGGCAACCCAGGCATGTACCCTGACTGGGAATCAAACCAGCGACCCTTTGCTTTGCCTTCTGGTGCTTAATCCACTGAGCCACACCAGCCAGGGCCTTAATTCCTATTTTCTTCCTGTACTTACTCCATGGGAGATCTCATCATATTCCCATGGATTTCAGTACCATCTCTATGTTGATTATTCTCAGCCCTATTTCAGACCTCTATCTTTAATTTTATCTCAACATGCCTACTTGACATCACCATTAGAATGTCTAACAGACATCTCAAATGAACCATATCCAACACTGAGCTCCTAATCTTTCCCATAAACCTGCTCTCCTGCAGTCTGTCCTTTCTATTTGTTCATGGCAGCTCTGTTTTTTTCTAGTTGCTTAGGTAAAAAACGCTTGGTATTCTCTCTCACACTCCACCATAAATCTGTCAGAAAGTCTGCCAGCTCTACTTTCAGAATATATCCTGAGTCCAACCACTTCCCACCACCCTGCCAGCCAACAAGCTGGTCCCAGCCACCATCGTCTCTTGCCTGGATTACCAGTGGTTTCCGACTACTGTCCCTGCTTCTGCCCCAGCCTGCTTCTAAGTGTAATTTGGGTCATATCACTCCACTCTTAACCCTCATGGCACACCCAGTGTTAGCCGCTCTCCTTACAATGACTCACAAGGCTCTATGTGGGACCCTGTTTCCTCTCCAAACCTTATCAACTTCTACTTTCCCCCTTGCTGTCCTGGGTCCTACTCCATGCCTTGAATATGGCCAGCCTAGTCCAACTTCAAAGTCTTTGAACTTGTTTCCTTTCCCTAGAATGCTGCTCCTCCTAATATCTCCAAGGTTTTACCCCCTCATTTCATTCAAGTTTTTACTTATCACTTTCTCAGAGAGGGCTGCCTTAACTACCCCATCTAAAACATCAACTGCCGGCTTTTCTTATTCTCCTTTATTTTTTTCTTCACAGCATTTATACGTCATAACATGTTACTTATTTACTTACTTGTTGTGATGGTTAGTTTTGGGTGTCAATCTGACTGGGTGTCCAGATACTTGTAAAATAATAGTCTGGGCATGTCTGTGAGGGGTTGATTTTTGCATGAAAATAACATTTAAGTCAGTGGCCTGAGTAAAGCAGATTGCCCTTCCTATGTGGATAGACCTCATCCAGTCTGTTGAAGGCCTGAATAGAATAAAAGTCTATGTGAGTAATAATTCTCTCTCTGCTGGGACATTGGTCTTCTCCTGCCTTCGGACTCAGACTTAGACTAGAGTGTGTGTGTGTGTGTGTGTGTGTGTGTGTGTGTGTAGAGAGAGAGAGAGAGAGAGACAGTGTGTGTGTGTGTGTGTGTGTGTGTGTGTGTATGTGTGTGTGTGGAGAGAGACAGAGAGAGATCTCCTATCGATTCTGTTTCTCTGGAGAACCTAGACTAATTCAGTTATCTATTGTCTAAATTCCTTCACTAAAATGTAAGTTTACTGAGAGCAAAGGTTTTTTGTAGTTTTTTGGACTATTTTATCTCTAGTACCTAAAACAGGGCCTGCACAAAGGAGGTATTCAGTAAAGTTCTGGTGAATTAACAGCTCCTCTCTGGTCTCTGCTTGTTAGGTCCTCCCTTCCAGGATACTCTCCACATTGTAGCTAAGGTGTCCTGTCGGAAGCACATATTCTATCATGCCATCTCTTTGACCAAGAATCTAGTGGCCTCAGACTGTGTGATTGTATGAGGTTGTTCAGCAACCCTTGACCTTCCAAGCCAATCTAGAGAAAGCTGATGATAGATGAATCTACACCAGAAATTTTCTGGGCAGGTGAGATGCCTGGCCAATGGGGCCAATGAAATGCTGACAAGAATAATAGACAAGATATACCAAAACAGGTGAAGTACATGAGGAAAGAAAAAAAGACAAGAGTAAGAGAAGGTGGGTGATGAAGTTGGAAGGAGAGGAATTATGGTCAAAAAGAGATGTTTGCATTTTCAGTGCTGAGGAGGGTGATTCTGAGTGGCACAGCCAGCATGTGGCCACGGGAAATGTGAGGACTAGAGTACAGTGGAAGGGGTAATCTTTGAAAATGAAGCCATCAAGGAACTGAGAGGGCAGGTAGTGACAAACCATTGTATTATTTCTGGTCCCCTCTGGGAAAAGAAAACATCATTAATTTACAATTGACACAGGAATAACTGGCATGAACCTGGACTGTCCTGAGTAAACTGAGACAGGTGGTCATCCTTAGCCACTCAGGCTGATAGCAGGCAGGCCTCAGGGTGGAAAAACAGACAGTGCCCTGGTATGATGTCACCAGGGACTGAATGGGCATTTACAAAGTTGAGCATGGAGTGAGGAAAGGTGTCATGGCCAAGAAGCTCACCAAGTGAGAAAAGCCTGGGTGGGGATTGTTAAGCTAGACAACGAGATTTGTTCAACCTCATGCACAAATCATAGCTTTTTAAACTTTTCCAAACTTTTTTTCAGCCTCATAACTTTCCTGAGAGTTAGCTATTGTGCTTCCTGTTTTCAGAAAGTGAAACCAAGGTAGAGTGTGATTTAAGTGACTGATCCAAGGCGAGTCAAGGAAGCCCCTCAAGTAGGGTTGCCACATAAGAGACTGGGCACCAAATTAAATCTGAACTTCAGATAAATGGCAAATGGTATAGTATAAGTATGTCCCAAATATTGCATGAGAAATCATTATTTACCTGAAATTCAAATTTATCTAGGCAACCTTGTTTTTGTTTGTTTGTTTGTTTGTTTTGTTTTTGCTAAATCTGGCAACCCAAAAGGAAGGGTAGTAGGCCAGAGTGGCAGTGTGATTTAGAGAATCTTGTTAGTGGCCCAGGAGGCTGGAAGAACAGGGCCAGATCTGAATATGCCTGAGAGAAGAATGTCAGAGGCGGCCGGTTAACATGGGTAGAGTACTCTAAACTGGCAGAGTCACCCCGTGGACTTGAAGGCCACTGCATGAATATGAATGGCTTTCTGCATACTCACTCATATCGGATAGAGCCTTGGAGCCCACAAACAGTGCTCACATCTGTTATTTTAATTGGATCCTCCAGCTTTGGAAGTAAGCACCACACAGATACCCCTGCCTAGAGCACTGACCAGGACATTGAGGTTCAGAGAGGTTTTGCTGAGGTTCTAGAGCTGGACTCACAAAGGAGGGGGTCTTGGGAGAGGGCACCAGCTCATACAGGAACCACAGAAAACCCTGAAAAGGCCCTGGGGAGTGTGGTGACGCTAAAGGGGCAGGTAGAGGGCAGGGAAAGGGCTCAGCCTGAGAGCCAGCAGGGAGAGGCAGGAGCAGGCAGGGAGAGGACGAATGACCAAAGCTCAGGACCCACTGGTAAATCATTAGCCTTCACAGAACACAGAAGCTGTGGGCTGTTATTATAAACAAATGAAATGAATAAAATACAGAAAAAAGAAAATACAATAAAGCAAAATAAACGAGCAAAACTAAAAAGAATAAAGGCATCAAGCCCTCTGATAAAGGTTCAGGCAACTTGAACTCTCTCAGGGCCTGAGGTAGGCACAAAGCCTTTGGGTACAGACTAGGAAGCCCAGGGGCAGCAAGGGACAGTGGCGTCAGGCAGCTGAAGCTCTCAGTGACCTTCTGGCATCTCTCGTCTCTCTGGGCCTCACTTTCCTCTGCCATAAAGCCCAGTGCTGAGCTAAATAGCAATTCACAGCCTGGGTTCTTCAGAGGAGCTTGAAAGACCTTCAAGCTTGTTTCTAATTGTCAGACGACTGTTGCCGCAGGTGCGGGGCTCAGTTCGAAACAAAGCTTGTTTCAGGGGAGTGGGGAAAGACAAGCAATAAATAAGTAAATCAATATATAAACAAGCAGGAAAGCAATGTTTGAGTTGAAGCCCGAACTCAATGATCTGTGCAGCCAGGCAAACACTGGGGCTGAGTAGTCCCAGCCGTGGAGACGGCCAATACAAAGATCTGCAGGGGCAACTAAGCTGAGAGTGTTAGAAGAACAGAAATAAGGCCAGTGACTAGGGAGAAAGCGGGCGAAGTGAGAGGGAGGGGCAGGTTCTGCAGCACCATGCCCAAGCTAAGGACTCTGGGCTTTTTCTGAGTGTGGTGGAAGCTCTTTGAAGGGTTCGAACAGCAGTGCAATAGCAGCTGATAGATGTTTTTAAAAGTAGCTTAAGAAGTGCATGTTTATCTCTGGCCAGATTGGCTCTGTTGGTTCTGTAAACCAAAAGTTCACTGGTCCTATTCCTGGTCAGGGCACATTCCTGGGTTACAGGTTTGGTCCCTAGTTGAGGCATATGTGAGAGGCAACTGACTGATGTTTCTCTCTCACATTGCTGTTTCTCTCCCTCTCTTCCCCGGTCTCAAAAATCAACAAGATGTCCTTGTTGAGGACACTGTGCTAAGCCGGGCTCAGAAAACAAATACGACATGCTACCACTTATACAAGAAATCCAACGGAGTTAAACTCTGAGAAGCAGAGAGTGGAACAATGATTGCCAGAGCTGGGAGGA